ACTCCAGCCTGGGTAACATGAGTGAGACTCCGTCTCAAAAAAAAAAAAAAAAAAAAAAAAAAAAAAGAATTGCCATATGGGCCAGGCATGGTGGCTCATACCTATAATGCCAACATTTTGAGAGGCTGAGGTGGGTGGATTGCTTGAGCCCAGGAGTTCGAGGCCAGTCTGGGCAACATAGTGAGACCCCCTGCCTCTACAAAAATTACAAAAATTAGCCAGGCATCATGGCATTTATCTGTGGTTCCAGCTACTTGGGAAGCTGAGGTGGGAGGTTGGCTTGAGCCTGGGAGGAGGTGGAGGTTTCAGTGAGCCGAGATCATGCCACTGCACTCCAGCCTGGGTGACAAAGGGAGACCCTGTCTAAAAATAAAAGGGCTGGGCCTGGTGGCTCACACCTGTAATCCCAGCACTTTGAGAGGTCGAATTGGGTGGATCACGAGGTCAGTAGATCAAGACCATCCTGGCTAACATGGTGAAACCCTATCTCTACTAAAAATTAAAAAAATTAGCCAGGCTTGGTGGTAAGTGACTGTAGTCCCAGCTACTCAGGAGGCTGAGGCAGGAGAATCACTTGAATCCGGGAGGTGGAAGTTGCAGTGAGTCGAGATTGCGCCACTGCACTCCAACCTGGGCGACAGAGCGAGACTCTGTCTCAGAAAAACAAAACAAAGAAACAAACAAACAAACAAAAAAAAAACGGCTGGGCACATTGGCTCACACTTGTAATCCCAGCACTTTGGGAGGCTGGCCGAGGCGGATGGATCACAAGGTCAGGAGTTCGAGACCAGCCTGCCCAATACAGTGAAATCCCACCTCTATTAAAAATACAAAAATTAGCTGGGTATGGTGGTGGGCATCTGTAATCCCAGATACTTGGGAGGCCAACTCAGGAGAATCGCTTGAACCTGAGAGGCAGAGGTTGCAGTGAGCCGTGATCGCGCTGTTGCATTCCAGTCTGGGTGACAGAGCTAGACTCCCTCTCAAACAAAAAAGGTAAGGTTTATGTTATATCTATGTTACCATAATAATAAAAGATTTAAGAACAGGGCCTAGCAGAGTGAGCATGATATGCTTATTAAATCACGGAAAACAGGGCTGGGTGTGGTGGCCCATGCCTGTAATCCTAGCACTTTGGGAGGCTGAGGCAGGTGGATCACTTGAAGTCAGGAGTTCAAAACCAGCCTGGCCAACATGGTCAAACCCTGTCTCTACTAAAAAATACAAAAATTGGCTGGGCATGGTAGCTTGTGCCTGTAATCCCAGCTACCTGGGAGGCTGACGTAGAAGAACTGCTTGAACTGGGACCGGGGAGGCAAAGGTTGCAGTGAGCGGAGACCTCGCCACTGCACTCCAGCCTGGACTAGAGCGAGACTCCATCTCAAAAAAATAAAAGATGGCTGGGCGAGGTGGCTCACACCTGTAATCCTAGCACTTTGGGAGGCCGAGGTGGGTGGATCACCTGAGGTCAGGAGTTCAAAACCAGCCTGGCCATCATGGAGAAACCCCAACTTTAAAATAAATTAATTAAAAAAAAATAAAAGATCACTGAAATCAATTAAAACGGCATTGCTGGCCTGTGACTCTTAAAGGGACACAGAACACATTAGTCAGTCCCCGCCTCAGGCCTAGCAGATAGTGGGGGCTCTAGAAATATTTGTTGATCTTTTGACTGCTTGAAACTCACGGTGCTAAGGCTGGGTGCAGTGGCTCATGCCTGTATTCCCAGCACGTTGGGAGGCCAAGATGGGTGGATCACCTGAGGTCAGGAGTTCGAGATCAGCCTGGCCAACATGATGAAACTCCATCTCTACTAAAATACAAAAATTAGCCACGCGTGATGGCGCATGCCTCTAGTCCCAGCTAGTCCAGAGGCTGATGCAGGAGAATCCCTTGAACCTGGGAGGCAGAGGTTGTAGAGAGCAGAGATCGTACTACTGCACTCCAGTCTTGGCAACAGACCGTGACTCTGTCTTAAAAAAAAAAAAAAACCCCAGAAAACAACAAACAAACAAAACAAAAAACTTGAGGTGCTTTCTTGCTTAGCACCCAATGCCTCTGTCCACCACATGACCCACTCTGTCCAAACGCAGGGGAATCCACTTCCCTGGGGTCTGTGTGAATGGGCCCCGGAGCCAAGGGTGCACAGCTGCCTCCAATTCTGCCAGTTAGCTTTGTGCCAGGCTGCTCCCTGGGCCTGGGGTGCACACCTTGGCTCACTCCAGTTCCCTTCTAAACAGCTTCTGGCGGCCTGGAGCTATTCTGGGAAAACATGTCTGTAATCCCCCATCCCTCCAGGCAGGGCAGCCAGAGTCTAGAATCAAGAGGGAATGGGACTGTCCTCTCTCAGGTGTCCCTGGGGTCTCCAGGTGTGAGTGGCCTCTTCCGCTAGCGGCTGGAGCTTTTGGAAAGATGCTGGGAGCTCACACTGGTTCCAAGGTCACCGCAGGGGTGAGATGGAGGGAGATGCTGAATCCTAGGAAGAGGAATCCCATGCCACACATTTTGCTGTCCCCAGCATTCCCCCACCAGGCTCTCCTCTGGTGTCAGTCTAGGGTAGAGACAGCTGGTATCACTAACAGCTGCAGGGCAAGCCCCCCTCATCAGGACCCCAAGGGAGGGGCGGCCCTGGCAGGAGATAAAGTGATAAACCCTGGCCACTGCCCTTGGATCCCATCCCCACCAGGGGGTGCCCGCAGTCCTGTGGTCCTTGGACTGGGGAGTTTAAGGTCAAGGACAAGCTGCAGCCTTCCCTCCCTCCCTGCCATAGGAGCAGCCTGGAGAAGGCCCACCCCAAATGCACCGGGCCAGCTCAGGGGGCCTCTAAGCTGCCCTTGGCAGGTGGGGTCCTCCCTTTCCCTCTTGGGCTGGGCCATGGAAATGTGGGGTCTGGCCTGCATTGGGGAACATGCAGCGAGAGGGGCCTTGGCCCAGGAGTGGGCACCTGGTGTAAAGAAAGAAGACAGAGGCGCAGCGGCAAGTTTCTGTACAGGAAGTTGGATTATACATTTTAGTAATGGGAGAGGGGACAGGGACGGGGGGCAACAGTGCAGGGGCCACAGGGAGAAGAAGAGGTCGAGAGCTGGGGTTCGGCATAAATCTTACAAAGTGTATAAAGAATCTGTGTTTCTCTACAATAACAAAAACCAAAGGCTACAAGAGCGGTTGTATATACAAAACATGGAGATATTGCTTCACTTGCAAACAGGTTCCAGACCAGAAGGGAAATGAGACAGAGGAGGGGGAGTGGGAGGGCCGAGAGGGCACGCTGCGTGCAGGAGATGGGTGGGGGAGAGGGTGACGGGCTTCTCCCTGCATCAGTCAACAGGCAGAGGTGGGAGGCCTGTGCGAGCTGCTATTCGCGGAGGAGCGGGTGGGTGCCAAGAGCCTGGGGGGTTCCACCTGCCCTGGACCCCGCTGCCTGGTTCTTGGGGCTTTGGACTGGAGCAGGGTTCTGGGTGGGGACAATGGGCTGGCTGGGTCACCCAGCCACACAGGGAGGGAGGCAATCACTCCCTGGAGTCTGCCGAGGAAAAGTTGAGAAGCCGGCACCATGCGGCCGTCCTCCTCATCTCTGGCCAGCCCTGTCCATCCTGCCACCCTCCCCACCTGGCCAAGACGCCCGAGGGGACCCGAGTTGGGTGGGTGCAGCAAACCAGGGTTTCTAGCTTTTTCCCAGGCAGGACGGGGGTAGCACTGGCTCCTGTCCTTCCTGGGCCCCAGCCCGGCCATGCAGAGCTCACTGGGAGGGCTGGAGCGAGCCGGCCACAGAGAGACAGCAGGGAGGGGCCGGAGAACACCATGGGAGAGGCGGATGGAGGTGCAGGGGTCACAGGTTCTGGCAGCACTGCAGCTTGTTGGGCTTCTGTCCATCCGTTGTGGGCGGCACGCTGATGTCCACCACGTTGTTCCCAGGGGACTCGTCGTGGGCGGCGCGGTCTGCGATCTGTTTCTGTGACACAATGCGGTAGATCTCTGCCAAGGGGGCACAGGGGGATGTCGGGTGAGCGTGTGCCCTGCCCGCCGAGGGGGCCCCTCCCTGCAGGACTCCAGAGCTCCTCTCCAGGTCCCCACAGTGCCCCCATCACATCAGGGGTAACAAGGACAGGGCTGCACACCCAGCCGGGGCAGGACCCACATCTGGTCACAGCCAGCCCTGGCCTCACTCTCTAAGACCAGAAGCACCCTTCTCCCTCAGAGGTAAACTCCCAGAAGCCAAAGGGCTACAGGTCCCTGAGGCCACCCGCCTCCCCCAAGGGCCAAGAGTCAAGGTAGGGCCCCTCTCCAGGAACTGGGACTGGGCAGGGGGGTGTCTCTGTGTCCCCAGTGCCAGCAAAGGCTAAAGCTTGTCTGACCCTGTGAAGTGTCCATGTGGGTCGGCAGGTTTAACAAACAAAGGTTAGGGATGGTGGTAGAAAAAACATCAAACAAACAGGCCAGGTGCAGTGGCTCACACCTGCAATCCCAGCACTTTGGGAGGGCGAGGCAGGCAGATCACTTGAGCCCAGGAGTTCGAGACCAGCCTGGCCAACATGGTAAAACTGGCTCTACTAAAAATACAAAAATTAGCAAGACATGGCGGCGCACACCTGTAATCCCAGCACTTTGGGAGGCTGAGGCAGGTGGATCACAAGGTCAAGAGATAGAGACCATCCTGGCCAACATGATGAAACCCCATCTCTACTAAAAATACAAAAATTAGCTGGGTGTGGTGGCACGCGCCTGTAATCCCAGCTACTCAGGAGGCTAAAGCAGGAGAATCGCTTGAACCTGGGAGACGGAGGTTGCAGTGAGCTGAAATTAAGCTACCACATTCCAGCCTGGGCAAAAGAGCAAGACTCCGTCCCACCCCATGCCAAAAAAAAAAAAAAAAAGCAAGCAAGCAAGCAAGCAAGCAAGCAAAAATCAAACAAACGAACAAAACCAGTGAAGGTTCGGAGTGTTCCTGTTCCTCCCTGCCTGGCTGGTGCCCTGCCCACACCCATCCGGCCCCCCAGCCACCTGTGAGGATGTTCTTGAAGGCTTCCTCTACGTTGGTGGAATCCAAGGCAGAGGTTTCGATGAAGGACAAGTTGTTCTTTTCTGGAACAGAGAATAATGCCCAGGTGGGCAGGGAAGCGGGGTGATACTCCCACACGCTCTCAGGGACCCCGCTCACCCACCTGGCCCAGGACATGAGCCACTCCTCAGGGAAGGGATGCCAGGGCTGTGGCCAGGTCCCCACACTAAGGGGTTGTCCTGCCTTCCAGACACCTCTGATGTCTGTGTCTCCATCTGCTCACCTGCAAAGGCTCGGGCCTCGTCGGTGGGCACAGCCCGCAGGTGGCGCAGGTCACTCTTGTTGCCCACCAGCATGATGACGATGTTGCTATCTGCATGGTCCCGAAGCTCCTTCAGCCAGCGCTCCACGTTCTCATAGGTCAGGTGCTTGGCAATGTCGTACACCAGCAGGGCGCCCACAGCACCGCGATAGTACCTGCAGGGTTAGGGGCCTCTGAGCCACTCTGAAGGGGGACCGTGGGCAGTGGCAGCCTCTTGGGATAACAGCACACGTCACGCCCAGGGCCAACCATTGTGGCTTCAAGGGAAGGGTGTGTGTCTAGAGGCCCCAGCTCTCCTCCCTGGATCCAGCTCTGAAATGTGGGGGCCTGAGGAGGGAATGTGGGGGTTGGGGATAGAAGATACCATGAGGCCATCAAAAAAAGGGAAAAAGGGGCTAGGCGTGGTGGCTCATGCCTATAATCCCAGCACTTTGGAAGGTTTAGGAGGGCAGATCACTTGAGGCTAGGAGTTTCAGGCCAGCCTGGCCAACATGGTGAAACCCTGTCTGTACTAGAAAAATATAAAAATAAGCCAAGTGTGGTGGTACGTGCCTGTAATCCCAGATACTCGGGAAGCTGAGTGGGAGGATCACTTGAGCCTGGGAGGCAGAGGTTTCAGTGAGCCGAGAGCATACTACTGCACTCCAGCCTGGGGGACAGAGCAAGACCCGTTTTTTAAAAAAAAAAAGCTGGGGAGAAGGAAACTGCAGCTGTGCAGAGAAAAGGCCACTGCCTACCATGCAGGGCCAGGCTCAGCCCTCTGAGGAGACAGACACCTAATCTCAGCACTTTGGGAGGCTGAGGTGGGAGAATCGCTTGAACTCAGGAGGAATTCAAGGCTGAATTCCTTGTGAGCTATGATCACATCACTGCACTCCAACCTGGGCAACAGCAAGACCCTGTCTTTCAAAAAAATAAGGCTGCGCATGGTGGCTCCCACCTGTAATCCCAGCACTTTGGGAGGCTGAAGTGGGTGGATCACAAGGTCAGGAGCTCGAGACCATCCTGGCCAATATAGTCACTACTAAAAATACAAAAATTAGCCAGGCGTGGTGGCAGGCGCCTGTAATCCCAGCTACTCAGGAGGCTGAGGCAGGAGAATCGCTTGATCCAGGGTGGCAGAAATTGCTGTGAGCCGAGATCACACTACTGCACGCACTCCAGCCCGGGTGACAGAGCAAGTCTCCATCTCAAAATAAAATAAATAAATAAACAAACAAATATATTAAAATAATATAAGCCAGGCATGGTGGTGCATGCCTGTAGCCCCAGCTACTCAGGAGGCTGAGGCAGGAGGATCACTTGAGCCTGGGAGATCGAGGGTACACTGATCTGTGATTGTGGCATTGCACCCCAGCCTGGGCGACAGAGCAAGACTCTGTCTGTCTCGAAAAAAGAGGGGATGACAGATAGACAGATGCACCCGAGGGATAAAGATGGGAGCCAAGGACCTCGAGGTGACAGAGAGACCATGGTGGTGGGAATGGCTGGGGGGCTTGGGAGAGGTCCTGAAAAAGGCAGCTGAGTGGGTCCTGATGTCTGGGAGGCCTTTGTGGGGAAGTGGGGCCTGGGCCGGAGGACAGGAGGGGTGTGGGACAAGGTGTGAGTCCCAGCAGAGGGGAGCCAGGGGAGGAGGAAGGCTGGGGAGCTGGCTGGGCAGAGGCAGCAGCAAGGTGGAGTGGCTGGAGCCAGATCCTCACTGCACTCAGTACCCAGAGATACCCCCAGTGTGGCCAAGGCTGGGCGCTGGTCTGCTTTAGGGTCCTACAGTGCATGGCTGGGGTGTTCTTCCAGCCTCACTCCTTGCTCTTGGGGCATGCTCTCCCCTTCTCCTGCCCAACTCCTACACATTCTTCCAAGCCCATGTGCGGCCTGCCCATGCGCCGCCTGCCCACGCCCCCGCATCTCAGCGTCCCTGCCCAGGCCGCTGACACGCACGCGGAGGTGATGGCGCGGTAGCGCTCCTGGCCGGCGGTGTCCCAGATCTGCGCCTTGATGGTCTTGCCGTCCACCTGGATGCTGCGGGTGGCGAACTCCACACCAATGGTGCTCTTGCTCTCCAGGTTGAACTCGTTGCGGGTGAAGCGGGACAGCAGGTTGCTCTTGCCCACGCCCGAGTCCCCGATGAGCACCACTGGGAGGGGAGGCGAGGTTCTGTGAGTCCCCATGCTCCACCCACGACCACCCTCAGAACCTTCCTACAGGCTCCCTGAGCGCTGCACCAATGCAGCAGCTAATGGTGTGGAGTCGGAGGTGCCTGGAGCTGGGAACCTGCAGGCACCATGCTAAGTAGTGCAGAAGCAAAGAGAGGCTCCTGCCTTCCAGAAACAGCCACTGCAGTTAACACAACACCTGCCTCTCTCTCGTCCTCGAAGCAGGGCTGTCCCAGGTGGATCATGGGGACCCAGGCAGCCAGGCAGGCAGGGTGGCTCGAGATCCATCAACCCTGGGCCTCCACCTGCAGCCTGGTGGCCAGGCAGCCAGACATGGCTTGAGAAGGCTCCTGAGCCAGGTGACCCTGGGCAAGTCACCTCACCTCTGCACTGCTTTTTCCAAATGTGTGAACAGGGAGGCAGTCACAGGAGGAGGAAGTCAGAGCAGGCATGGCCAGGCACGGTGGATCCCGCCTGTCAAATAGCACTTTGAGAGGCCAAGGCAGGCGGATCACTTGAGTTTGAGACCAGCCTGGCCAACATGGTGAAACCCCATCTCTATAAAAAATACCAAAGTTAGCCCGGCGTGGTGGTGGGTGCCTATAGCCCCAGCTCTACAGGAGGCTGAGGTGGGAGAATCACTTGAGCCCAGGAGGTCGAGGTTGCAGTGAGCCGAGATTATACCACTGCACTCCAGCCTGGGCAACAGAGATTCTGTCTCCCCCACCCACAAAAAAAAGTGCAGGCATCGCGCAGGAAGGGACACGAATGGGCAGTCGTCATGGTTGTTGTGGTTTCTGGTCAGGGCTTGGGAAGGGTCACTGCTACAGATGGTAAGTGACAGGGCATGAGGCACTCCCCCCACCCCAACCCCCACGCCCCTCCTGGTGCAGCAAACCCGCATCCAGCTTTGGCACAGATCGCAGAGTGAGGAAAAGGAATGTGCCTGGAGGCCGCAGCCTGGAAGAAGGAGCCTGCGGCCACTTCCCACCACCCCTGCCCCAGGGTCATGTCCCCTGCTAAGCTGCAGGGAACTCCAGCCAAGGTCATGTCCTCGTTCAAGGGGCAGTCCGCGCGTGTGCACAGCTCCTCACAGGGCTCCAACACAGGTATGCGTTGTCCCAGGAGGCGGGTGTACAGCAGAACAGCTTGGCAAGATGCAAATCCCGGCCCAGAAGGGAGTCAGTGCAGCATGGATGGGAGGAAGATAAGGGTTGGTGAGCAACAGCTCCCAGGAAAGGGAGCCTGAGCCCGGTCTACACGGGGTGCGCAGCAGGCCTGTCTCATGCTGGCCAGGGGACACCAGGAGCGTGTTCCCTAAGCACAGCAGGTGCCGGCTGGTCAGGCCAGGGGTGACCCGCCCTGTAAAGTGTTTTCTGTCCCAGGCATGGAAGCACTGTCCCTAGGGGCCCAGCTGCCCCGGGCTCTGAGGTGGGGCCTGGGTGGGCTGCCCCCAGTTGCAGAACATACCATTCGGAGGAGACTGGTGTGTGTGTGCATCTGAATACAGCCAACCAGAAGAGTCCCCGGCCAGAAGCCCTGTGAACCCCCAAGTATGGGGCTTGAGCCCTGGCACCTGAAGGTGGGTTGGCCCAGTGGCTTGGTCACCCCCTGGTCCCAAGGAGTTAGGGGCATCCAATGAGGATGATGCTTCCTCATCCGGGCAGAGATGGGCATGGCTGGCCCTCCTGAGCTCAGGGAGGTGCTGGCAGCCGGGCTGAGCCCTGGCTGACCCAGAGGTCCCCAGCCCTACCTGGGACCCCTGCCACACTGAGGGAGCAGAGTCTGGAACCCAACAGGCAGTTCTGTTCTGCCCTTCCCCTTGCCACACTGTAGGGCTGTATCTACACACTTGGAATTCTCCCTCTAGAAAACATTCTCTCTTGACCCCACTTCCGGCTCTGGGCACTGCCTGATTCTCTCCTCTCCAGACTCTGAACCCCCTAGAAGGTGTCATCTACACTCACTCATTCCACCTGCTATCCCCCCAGTCCTAGAGCTCAAACCAAGCATGCTTTTGCCCCCAACAGTCAGTGTCAGCCTCAGCACCCCCCGGGCCCAAACCACAGGCACCCAGCAGCTTTCCCTCCTTCCCCGCCTTCAGGTGTACCCTGACTCCCCACCTCGCAGCCACTCTCACTACGCCTTTGAACATCAGGGAGCCCCAGGACAGGCATCTCTGTCCACACCCACTCGCCAGGTGACCCTATCCAGGCTCATGGCTGTAAACACCAGCGTTGGGCTGGCAACTCCTACATTACCACTCTCCCTAGAAGGCCAGACTGCCGTGCCCACTGCCTCCTTCATGTCTCTTCGAGGGCCCAGGCCCCTCATACCCAGTAGAGTAAAGTCAAGCTCCCGATTGCTCGCTAAGCCCGCTCACCCACCCTTTCCTCCCCTCTCTATCTTGTCTAACTGTGGCTTGGTCCTACCAGGCATTCGCGCCAAAAACCTGGAGTCATTCTCGACTCCTTCCTTTCCTTCGCATCTCAGAGCCAATTCTTCAGCATATCCGAGATCCAAGAGAAGGGAGGATGAGCCCACTGTCTCTCCCTGGGCTATTCCATTCCAGACTCTCAGGTCTTGGAAGGTATCGTGTGTGGGGTCCCTGTGTTCACTCTCAACCAAAAGGCTGTCCTCCTGTAACAGCCACCAGAGGGCGCCTGTGAGTACTGAGCCAGGGCGCCTGTGAGAACCACGCCAGGGCACCTCCCTCCCTCCTCTGCAGACAACCTTCCATGGCTCCCACAACTGGCAAAGGAAAAGCCCCAGTCCTCCCCGATGTCCACAAGGCCCTCAACCTCCTCCCTCTCTCCTCCCTCTAGCGCGCTGGATCACTTTGGTCCCACTACACAGGCCTCCATGCTGTTCCTCCAATATGCCATGTGTGATCCTGCCCCAGGGCCTTTGCACGGGCTGTTCCTTCTGCCAGAAACGCTCTTCTCCAGGCACCCACCTGGCTCCCTCCCTCATCTCCTTCATGTGGTCCCTTAAATGCCACTTGGTCAAGAAGGCCTTCCCTGCTATGCTACTAAAACCCTACTCCGGCTGGGCGCGGTGGCTCAAGCCTGTAATCCCAGCACTTTGGGAGGCCGAGGCGGGTGGATCACGAGGTCAAGAGATCGAGACCATCCTGGTCAACATGGTGAAACCCCGTCTTTACTAAAAATACAAAAAATTAGCTGGGCATGGTGGCGCGTGCCTGTAATCCCAGCTACTCAGGAGGCTGAGGCAGGAGAATTGCCTGAACCCAGGAGGTGGAGGTTGCGGTGAGCCGAGATCGCGCCATTGCACTCCAGCCTGGGTAACAAGAGCGAAACTCCGTCTCAAAAAAAAAAAAAAAAACCCTACTCCCCAAATTACCCTGTTCCCTGACCCAGCTCTTCCTCTGTCACCCTTGCCACTCTCTCACCTGTCAGGTGGCATTTATTTTTTGCCAGTCTGCCCAGGCTGACTGGGCAGCAAGACTCCATCTCAAAAAAAAAAAAAGAAAGCTCTTGGTGCGCATTACTTCGCAGAAGGCTCATGTAGCCCATTTTTACAGATGAGGAAACTGAGGCTTGGATGGAGAATGGGGTACGGGGCAGAGCAGGATCCTGAATCTACACATATTTGTGGGCCCACTCCCACCTCCCAATGGTGCACCCCAAGTGACTTGTCTGGAGCAACCCGCCTGGGAAGTGATCCAGGCAGTATTTGAACCCAGGTCTTCTGCATCTGCAGCCTGGGTTCTTTCCTTCCCAACTCACTGCTGTGCTCACTGTCCTACTCCAACCCCAGCATGTGGCTTGGGGGTCTTAGTTCTGCCTTATGGGGCGGAGATTGAGGTTCCGGGCACCCCAGCTCCCATGGCATGGGGCAGCCGGCAAACTCCTACTCATCCTTCAAGACCCCTCAGTTCAGGCCTCTTCTCTCCCCAAAGACTACTACTTGGCCTGGCCCGCAAGACCTATGACAATAGGACCAGCATTCTCTCACGTCACCATAGGTGCCCAGCACAGGGCCACAAAGTGGACTTCAGAGAAAGACAGAAAGATGGCCAGGCACAGTGGCTCATGCCTATAATCCCAGCACTTGAGGAGACTGAGGCAAGCAGATCATTTGAGGTCAAGAGTTTGAGACCAGCCTGACTAACATGGTAAAACCCATCTCTATGAAAAATACAAAAATTAGCCAGGCGTGGTGGCAGGCGTTTCTAGTCTCAGCTGCTCAGGAGGCTGAGGCAGGAGAATCAGTTGAACCTGGGAGGCGGAGCTTGCAGTGAGCCAGGATTGTGCCACTGTACTCCAAGCTGGGTGACACGGCAAGACTTCATCTCAAAAAAAAAAAAAAGAGAGAGACGGAAAGAGGTTGAATGAATGTGGGCGTGTGGCCCTGGGCCTCCCAACCAAGTCAGTAGGAACGACAAAATGGGCTCCCAGGCCACAGGGGGCAGGATGGACTCACCATGGGGACCACCAATCACACCACCAACCTTAACCTCTTTCCATGGCAGCTACAGGAGCCTGGCCAAGGCCGGGGAAGTCTGCTCAGTTCTCATGTCCTCAGGAACCAAGACAGGAAGTTTGGGCCCTGCCTGGGTATCCCCCCAACACCCTCACTCCCTTCCAGCCTTGCCCCAGTTATACGACCTCAGGGGCTCCTCAGCCCATCAGTTTTCTTTTTTTTTTTTTTTTTTTTTTTTTTTTTTTTTTTTTTTTTTTTTTTTTTTTTTTTTTTTGAGACTGAATCTCCTTCACTCAGGCTGGAGTGCACTGAGACCATCTCGGCTCACTGCAACCTCCGCCTCCTGAGTTCAAGAGATCGTTCTGCCTCAGCCTCCCAAGTAGCTGGGATTACAGGTGTTCACCACCATGCCTGGCTAATTTTTGTATTTTTAGTAGAGATGGGGTTTCGCCATGTTGGCCAGCCTGGTCTCGAACTCCTGACCTCAAGTGATCCACCCGTCTCAGCCTCCCAAAGTTCTGGGATTCCAGGCGTGAGCCATAGCACCTGGCTCCATCAGTTTTGCCCCAGCCTGGCCAACACTCTTGAGTACCTTGGCGAGGCTGGGTTGCCAGTGCTTTGGAGGCCTCACCTGACATTCTCAGGGCTTCCCTAGAGACAGATGTAAACATTGTCATTCTCCCTGAACAGCTGGGGACACTCAACCCAGAGTGACCAGGTCAGAGCAAGGGACAAACAGCCACTGAACAGGTAAATGGCAGGCCAGGTGTGGTGGTTCACGCTTGTAATCCCAGCACTTTGGGAGGCTGAGGTGGGCGGATCACTTGAGCTCAGGAGTTTGAGACCAGCCTGGCCAACATGGTGAAACCCCGTCTCTACTAAAAATACAAAAATTAGCCGGGCGCAGTGGCTCACGCCTGTAATCCCAGCACTTTGGGAGGCCGAGGCGGGTGGATCATGAGGTCAAGAGATCGAGACCATCCTGGTCAACATGGTGAAACCCCGTCTCTACTAAAAATACAAAAAATTAGCTGGGCATGGTGGTGCGTGCCTGTAATCCCAGCTACTCAGGAGGCTGAGGCAGGAAAATTGCCTGAACCCAGAAGGCGGAGGGTGCGGTGAGCCGAGATTGCGCCATTGCACTCCAGCCTGGGTAACTCCATCTCAAAAAAAAAAAAAAAAAAATTAGCCAGGCATGGTGGCAGCGGAAGCCTGTCGTCCTAGCTGCTCGGGAGGCTGAGGCAGGAGAATCACTTGAACTCGGGAGGTGGAGGTTACAGTGAGCCGAGACTAAGCCACTGCGCTCCAGCCTGAGCGACAAAACAGGTAAATGGCAGAGAGGCTGAGCTGCCCAGCCAGTCCCTGGCACTGGGTACCCGATGCAGAGAGGTGGCCAGCGGGGCAGGTCCAGTATGCAGGCTGGGAATGAAAACGTCATTGTCTAGGACACAAGCAATCTGTTGTCTTGGAGAAATAAAGAACCCTTGAGGACATAGCTCCCAGCATTGCCACAGAAGTTGGTGGCTTCACTGGCTGGGAAGCAGCCCCCCTTACCCCAGACATGCCACTTGGCTGACAGAGCAGGCAAGCCCAGTTGTCAAAAACAAAGAGCTGGCACTTCTGAGAAATCCTGAGTATCCTGGCCTGCCCCATGACAATGTGGCTGCCCTGGGGCCCAGACCCTAATGCTCAGGCTGATTGAGGGGTCCTTCAGGGGAATGGTGCCCCATTCCGGGCAGAGCCTGGTGGAGCCAAGCAGTGTCTCAGCCTTCCTCTGGAAAGCTGGTCCTAAGTATCTAGGCCTCAGGGAGCAGATACAGGGGGCACTCTTGTCTCAGCTCTTCTCTGGGGAAGTGTCCAAAGCCAGGGCATAGGAGGGGCCCCCATTCTAAGCAGAGAAGATGGTATTTTGGGTCCACAAAACAGCAAACAGAACAGCAGCCCGCTGTGAGAGTTTGTTGAGGATCGAGGGCTCGGAACTGCCTCGGGAACCTCAGCAGAGAAAGGGAAGCACCGGCCAGGTCTGGGTCTGATCCCTGGAGACAGCAGCCACCTTCTCCTTGGGCAGGGGAGGGATAGACAAAACCCAAGGCACAGGACCTGGGGCAGCTGCAGCCCATTTTCCCTATGACCCATGTCTGCCTGGGCCAGGTGAGTCCTGATTGGTCAGGGGCTCTGGGATAGGGGAAGGGCTCTGGGAGGGCTTCAGTGGCCCTTGGGGAGACAGCTGCACCTACGGTGAACCCCACAGCCCTGAGTCCATCAGAGGAGAAACCTGGGGTGCCCGAGGCAATTAGTGGCAGGCGGTGAAAATGGCCCATAGCTAAAGGAGAAAATGTTAGGAGGATAAATGTGAGGTTTTATAATTAGTACAAATCAACAGTGAAATTCCTAGGGGAATGGGGGAGAATATTCACAGAGGAAAAACAAACGGCACATGGGGCATCACCCAGGGGATCTGCTGGCCTCAACTGCTGAGGTCAAGGAGCCAGTGCGTGATGTGGGCACCAAAATAAACAAGGCAGGGGCAAGGTACGGTGACTCATGCCTGTAATCGCAGCACTTGGGGAGGCCAAGGCAGGTGGATCACAAGGTCAGGAGTTCAAGACCAGCCTGACCAACATGGTGAAACACCATCTCTACTAAAAATACAAAAATTAGCCAGGCGTCGCAGCGCTTAATCCCAGCTACTCAGGAGGCTGAGACAGGAGATAATCACTTGAACTGGGGAGGTGGAGGTTGCAATGAGCAGAGATCGTACCACTGCATTCCAACCTGGGGCAACAGAGTGAGACTCCATCTCAAAAAAGAATAAAAAAAGAAGGAAAAAGAAAGAATACAAATATTGAAAGAGAACAGAGAAGGCCCTCTGATGAGACACAGCTGTGAAGGTGAGCCAGCAGATGAGCAGTCTGGGAAATGCTGACCTTGTGGGTTAGATTTTTGCTACCAACTGGCTTGAGGTCAGCAGAGCACCTGCTAGACTCAGTAAAAGGAGGCCAGCGGGGAGGGCAGTGGGGCAGACACACCCCTGCCCCCTACTGCCCGCCCGATGCATGCCAGCTGCTGCAGAAGCTGGATCAGTGTTTCCAGGAAGCAGTCTCTGCAGATGAGTCCCGGGAACAGCACAGCCTCTCCGTTGCTCCTGACCCACTAACTGTTCTGCTGGGAACACACTTCAAGGAAATAACCCAAAGGGCAAAATCATGAGTTGGGCAAACACTTGGAGCTGGGTCATTGAAAACAGCAAAGGGGCAAAAATAACAAGCAGCGATGACTGCAGAAAACTGGATGGGGCAAGTGGGGAGCAACACCCCCTTCCCTAGCAGTGCCACGTCTGGGTGGGTGCCCAGCTAGGACCTGGGAGCAGCTGCTTCAGGGCGGACTGAGTGGAGATAGCACCTGCTCAGCCAGACCCAAAGTCTAGTCCCTCTGTCACCAGATGGGCCTGCAGATCCCCAGTCTCCAAACCCTTCCTCCTGCCATGAGGGCAAGACCTTGGGGCTGGCACCTGCTGACCACAGAACATCACCTACTGGTGACAGTATCAACCTTTGTGCAGCTGCCAGAACCCTCAGTGCTGTGGGATGACTCTAGGCTGTTGCATAGACACTTCCTCTTCCTCTGCACAGAAGCCCTCTGCTACATGGACATCCCAGGTGGGGAGACCTCCCCCCCATTTCCCACAACCCCAAGATGCTGGATGAGACCAGACACAAGGCCCAGCCACACCTGGTACAGGCCACAGAGCACACTCAGAGGGATGGCCCAGCGAGGTAAAGATACCAACAGCTGGCATGGGATGCAGACCCTCATAGAGCAGGCCACAGGGCCAAGGCACCTTGGGTCCAGGGGTTAGCCCTCAAGGGCTGCCAATGGCAGCCAGTGAGCCCAGCAATAAGGGCAGAGGACCAGGCCAAAGTCTAGCTTGGCACAGAAGGCTCAGCTGAGGACTCCAGCTTCCTCCAGCTGGAGGAAACTCACCCCCAGCTGTCTCCAAAGGGGCAATGGCTGCCCGATCTACCTAGGCCTTATTTGATGCTCCTAGAGCCCCCTCAGTCCCTGGGGCGGGGAAGACCCTCCAGCAGGCTGGCTGGGGCCCTGGCCATCAGTGCACACATGTTGGAAGAAGGTGGTCTGACAACCGCAAGTCCCAGATGCTGGCCACAAGCACCCTAAGGCAAAGTGGTAAGGCCCACAGGTGGCCTGGGCTCAATCGGGCTCCAACACTTATAAACTATGTCTTTGTCACTCTGGGCCTCAGTTTCCAAATGTATAAAAAGAGAGGCTGGTTAACATCAACCTCAAAGGGCTGCAGTGAGTATTTAAATGAGTTCATTCACGTAAAGTGCTCAGAAAAGTGCAGGTACTGGCTTAGCGCTGTTGAGAGTTCTGAGTGAAGAGATGGAATTCTTGTTGCACACACGGGTACCTCTCCACTCAATCCCGGCTCTGCACCCCAGTCCAAGGCTCCAGCCACCATATACCTCACCCCCAGGCTCTCATCTCGACCCACCCCGATTGTCTGCCCCGCCTCTCTCGGGCCCCGCCCCAAACACGCTGCCCCAATCAGGACTAGCTTCGTGAGTCCCGCCCCCATTTTAGCAGGCCAAACCCCCTATTGGTCACGCCCATCACGTCTTAGCCCCCGCCTCTAAAAACCCCGCCCCAATCCCCAATCACGCTTTTAACCCAGCCCGGCCCGCCAAATCCCGGGAACGTCCCACCCCCTCCAGAGGCCCCGCCCCCAACGGCCTCTCCCACCGCTCCGGGCCCCACCCCTTCTAGGCCCCGGCCCCGCCCTGGCACATCCTGGGTACCCCAGGTCTCTCCGTGCCGCCAGCTCCGCATGGCCGCGCACACGAGCCCGAAGCTGATGGAGCCCGGTTGGCCCCGGCTTTCCAATCTACCTGACCCGCCGGGCCCCAAGCCCCGGGCTCCGGCTGGGCCCAGCGGCCTGGAGCGCGGCCTTGGCCCGTCTGCCCGTCGCCTCGCTGCCACGCCCTCGCCTGTCTCTGCCCCACCGGCCTCACCTTTGAATAGGTAGTCGTACTCGTCGTCCCGAGTCCCCATTGTCCTGGCGCTTCCGGCGGGATCGGCGACTCCGCAGCCCCACCACAAACACCCGACGGGGGCGGGGCCGGCGCCGCGCAAAGCGGCGCTTGGATGACCTATCAGCAGCGGGTGGAGTAGCGACTGGCACCCAGCTGAGCCAATCAGAGATGAAAATAGTGCTCCGGGGGGTGGGCGCCGCTTGATATCCACCCTCCTCTCCCTAGGTGTCCTAGAGAAAGGCGGAAGGAATGCGGACCTTTCTGAAGTGACGGCCGCGCCAGCCTATCAAAGGTGAGCTTAAGTGGGCGGGGCGGAAGACTGCAGGAATGAAATGGATTGACGGAACAACTAACCAATGAGCGGCTTGGTTGGGCACATATCCGACTATGAAAGGACCTGTGCGGGAAGGGAAATGGGGCTACGTCCAGGTGATCTTACGGCGTTTAACGTCCCGATGACGTCATAGGTCAGCGCGCTGACCCTTGGCCTCGCCCCTCCAAGCCTAAAAATGACCATTTCCGGGGACCTCAGTGCTGGGTCCCCTCTCTCGGTTGCAGTTTCCATGTCTATATAGAGACGCATTAGGTTATCCCTCTATGCCTCAGTTTCCTCCTCTGTAAACTGAAGAAATCCGTCTCATGGAATCTTTTGAGAATAACCAGATCATTTCATTCAATGCAGAGTGAATCAACCGTCCAGTTTTTGTTATTCTTTAATAAATACTTATAAATCCTTATTGGGCATCAGGTGCTCTCCAACAGGACCTCCTGCTCCTCTTTGTCCCATATTTTACCCATAGGTAAAACATAAATGTAAGTAGTATATAAAATAAACACATACTGTATTGTCAGGTAGCGATAGTGATAGGATTTATCACTATCTGACGATACAGTATGTGTTTATTTTATATATTTAGGGTGTACAGCCTGCTGTTTTGATATACATGTACACAGTGAAATAATTATGACAATTAAGCAATTAACCTATCCATTGCCTTCCATAATTGTGTGTGTAGTGAGAGTATCTAAAATCTCCTTTCTTGACAAATTTTCAATAAACAATGATGCAATATGATAATTATTTTTGAGACAGTTTTGCTCTTGTTTCCCAGGCTGGAGTGCAATGGCGCGATCTTGGCTCACTGCAAATCTGCCTCCCGAGTTCAAGCAATTCTCCTGCCTCAGACTCCTGAGTAGCTGCGATTATAGGCATGCCCCACCACGCCCAGCTAATTTTAGTAGAGACGGGGTTTCTCCATGTTGGTCAGGCTGGTCTCGAACTCCTGATCTCAGGTGATCCACCCATCTCGGCCTCCCAAAGTGCTGGGATTACAGTTGTGAGCCACTGTGCCTGGCCCACAATGCAATATTATTAACATAAAGTATACATTGCATTTTTTTGGCCAGCTAGGGTAGCTCATGCTTGTAAACATGCACTTTGGGGAGGCCAAGGTGGGAAGATCACTTAAGGCCAGGAGCTAAGAACAGCCTGGGCAATGTGTCAAAACCCAGTCTGTTTAAAAAAAAAAAAAAAAGAAAGAAAAGAAATCAAGGAAGGTCTAACAGGCAAAATAAATAAATAAAATAAAAATAAATTAGCCAGGTGTGGTGCTGCATGCCATAGTCCCAGATACTTGGGAGGCCAAGGCGTGAGGATTGTTTGAGCCTGGGAGGTTGATCGAGGCTGCAGTGAACCATGATCACCCCACTGCACTCCAACTTGGGCAACAGAGCAAGACCCTGTCTAAAAAAAAACAAAAAAACCCATGGCTTTCTTGATCTATTGATCTGTTTGTTTTTTGTCCTCGGTTAACAGCATATCAACCTCATGAGGTCAGGGACTGTATCTGTCCTCATCACTGCTGTAATTTCCCCAGTGCTGAATAAATATGTTTATACAGTGGGGAATAAGCACACAGCCGATGTGCTGGCTGTTAGAGCAGTCACTATTACTGCCTCTTGGATCTCATTCCCAGGGTGTTCATCGAGCATCTGTCAAAAAACAAAATCACAACACATTTAGTTTAAAGGGCTTACTTGATTTTATTTGCAATTCTACAATTGGGCAACATTGCATTTCACAAAATGAAACTACTTTTCCCAGGAGTTGAGCAGGCAGGTTGGTTTTACAGGCAGAAAAAGGGCCAAGGAAGGCAGAAACAGAAAATAAAATGTAGAGGCCGGGCGTGGTGGCTCACGGAAGTGCTCAGGTGGGTGGATCACCTGAGGTCAGGAGTTTGAGACCAGTCTGACCAACATGGTGAAACCCTATCTCTACTAAAAGTACAAAAAAATTAGCCGGGTGCAGTGGTGGGTGCCTGTAATCCCAGCTACTCAGGAGGTTGAGGCAAGAGAATCGCTTGAACCCAGGAGGCGGAGGTTGTAGTGCACTGAGTTTGCACCATTGCACTCCAGCTGGGTAAGAGTGAAACTCCAACTCAAAACAAACAACAACAACAAAAAAAACGTGGATTGGTCATTTTAAAGTTTCCTTTTTTTTTCTTTTTTTGGAGTCTGAGTCTTGCTCTATCACTCAGGCTGGAGTGCAGTGGTACAATCATAGCTCACTGCAGCCTCAACTTCCTGGGCTCAAGCAGTCCGCCCACCTCAGCCTTTTGAGGAGCTAAGATCACAGGCATGTGCCACCATGCCCAGCTAATTTTTCTGCAGAGACAGGGTCTTGCCATGTTTCCCAGGCTAGATTTGAACTCCTGAGCTCAAGTGATCCTCCTGCCTTGACCTCCCAAAGTGCTGGGATTACAGGCATAAGCCACCACTGCACTCAGCCCAAAGTTACTTTTCTTGTAAAGCTTAAAGCAGAGAGGACTTCCTTATCATGCTGGCTAAAACTGACCTGGCTGGAGATTTGGCTATCTTATCTCTCTCTCCTGATTTCTTAGGTCAGATAAACAACTTAGTTTCGGTTTAGTCATGTAGGACTTTAGTATGAGTGACTCCGTTTTGGTTTAGTTTGTTGGGCCTGGTGCAGGAGGTCAGTCCCAAATAATGGCCTCCTATAAGTTTTGTATAACACATCCCATGAACACTTTTGACTCCTTCCCCATATCCACTCCCTGTCTTGTATCTCCATCTCTCCTTCACTCCCTCCCATCGAAGTCAGAGGTTATGCATTTCTCTCTCCTCATATTCTCCTCTCTGCCTCCCACCCTTTGTCTCTTTCCCTTGACCTCCCTCAGTTTCCTTATTCTGTCTCTCCTCCCTCTGAAATTTCTCTTGATTTTTGTTTATTTGTTTTTGAAGCAGAGTCTTGCTCTGTTGCCCAGGATAGAGCTCAGTAGTACAGTCTCAGCTCACTTCAGCCTCCGCCCTCTGGGTTCAAGCTATTCTTCTCATGCCTCAGCCTCCCAAATAGCCGGAATTACAGGTGTGCGCAACCACACCCAGCTAATTTTTGTATTTTTATTAGAGACAGGGTTTCGCAATGTTGGCCAGGCTGGTCTGCAACTCCTGGCCCAAGTGATCCCCCTACCTCGGCTTCCCAAAGTGCTGGCTTTACAGGCATGAGCCAACAAGCCTGGCCCTGATTCTGATCACTTCTTACCCCCTTTACAACCACCACCTGACCCTGACCCCATTCTCACTCCCTGAACCAGAGCTCTATTTCCTCCTTTGTCCACAGTACTCGGAGGGGATTTTTTCTTTGTTTTTAGAGACAGGGTCTCTGTTGCCCGGTGCATTCATGACTCACTGCAGCCTCGACCTCCTGTGCTCAAGTGATCCTCCTGCCTCTGCCTCTCAAGTAGCCAGAACCACAAGTGTGTGCCACCATGCCCGGCTAATTTTTCTCTTTTTTTGTAGAGATGTGATCTTACTATGTTGCCCAGGCTGGTCTCAAACTCCTGGGCTCAAGTAATCCTCCCATCTCGGCCTCCCAGAGTGCTGGATTATAAATCCGCGCCATCACACTCAGCCTGAGGGAGCTTTTAAAAAAACATAAGTCAGACTATGTTACTCCTTGTTTAAAAGCTTTTTTTTTTTTGAGATGGAGTTTCCCTCTTGTCAAGGCTGGAGTGCAGTGGTGTGATCTCATCTCACTGCAACCTCCACCTCCTGGCTTCAAGTGAATCTCCTGCCTTAGCCTCCCGAGTAGCAGGGATTACAGGCATGCGCCACCATGCCCAGCTAATTTTTTGTATTTTTAGTAGAGACAGGTTTTCACCATGTTGGCCAGGCTGGTCTTGAACTACTGACCTCGTGATCCACCTGTCTCGCCTCCCAAAGTGTTGGGATTACAGGCACGAGTCACCTTTTAAAAAATTTACTGTAGACCAGGTGTGGCAGTTCATGCCTGTAATCCCAGCACTTTGTGAGTCCGAGGCGGGTGGATCACCTGAGGTCAAGA